GACAAACACTTATTGCTGCGTGACACACCAAGCGCACGCTTGTCTGGTCCAGTCGGCGGTTTTAATTGCGGTAGCACACTTATATAGTTGAGGTGCACAAATGCATGAACGTTTGCAGTCACTGGAATCTGAGCGCAACGGAATGATGCATTTTGTTGCCAACATGACTCGCCTGTTTTATTATTCGGGCACATACATGCTACACAAAGTTGGGAATTCCAATGCACAGTGATTTCAGAACATATCCTGTAAAATTATTGCGCACTGATTTCCCGTAGCAGCGAGTTTCGCTTAAAAGTAAGCGCCCTTTCTTGCCGAACCCTCTCGTCGCAGCCTTTGGAACTCATTTTTTACTTAATTTGTAGTTTCTTTTGCATTTCTCCACGCAAAAGTCTGGAATGATGTGTTTTAGTATCACTGTGGCAAGAGGCGCAGGCACACATTAAACTGAGATCCGATCGCCTTTGTGAGATTGTATGGTCCGCACACACATCTTTCCACTCACTGGGGTCCTGATGCTCCGGAATAATGCATGCTATTATCACCGAGGCTCAACCCTTCCGCCCGCAAGCGGTGCATGAACTGACGGTGAACGAAATGACGGCGGGCTCAGACGATCACAGCACGTGCGCTTTTCCACGTTTTACTTGAATTACTCGGCGACGGCGACTGGGCGATCGATCGATGGCATTTGTTGGCATCTATGGCAAGTTTGCGCAGCCAGTGACAGTGGAAAATGCTATTGTATGAACGTCTGACCTAGCTCTATCCTTTGACAGCATGCATAAGATTGCCTTGGCTATTTTTTGTCCTTCCTTGAAGAAGTTGTTTGTTTTGTCACATGTTTATGTTTTGGATTCATATTGATGCATTCAAATGATAAAATTCTTGTTAGATGTGGTGCTGAAAACTATGTATCATCAGCCTGAAACAGCGGCACAATATTTTGTACTCTCGGTTTATGGTTAAGCAAAACATTAAGCTCACCACAGCTATGTTGGGGGATATGTATATTGATTTTTACATGTAGCAACCTTATGGTATGGTGTTGTCATTATGTAGTGATGAAACGATCAGTGTTAATGGTTGGATTACACACCCCCAAAATATGTGCATTCTGATGCAAAAAAGCGGGATTTATGTTGGGAACTAACACCATAACGCTGTATTCACTTCTAATTTTCTACCCAGAACAAACATAACTTTTGCCATTTCATGATTTCGAAACACTCAGCAGCTCATGTAAAGTCTAATACGGGTCATTTACGCGAGATGTGACTTTGGCTTGGCTTTCCAAGTGGCGCCACTTTTCCTGCTCAGGATTACTTTTGGGGTATTTTGCCCCTTTGCACTTTTTCCGAACACTTTTCATAATCTTACGACATATCTCTGACAACATTTAATGTTGCCTGGCCATCTTGCGAGAGCAAACTTCCACCTTACTCACGTGTATCGCACTAGCGTCCACTGCTTAACACTGCGTACCTTGCCAGAAATTCGGTCTCCGCCATTTATTTATTTCTATTTTTGGCTTCACGTGGCCCAAAGATGCAGCAAATTACTTTTTATGCAATGAGCGCCGCTTAGGCTCGTTTCCGTTTCTAAAAAGGTAGAGAACTGCATATGTCTTTCCCATATGGTTGGCTGTTCCCCTGACCCCTCCACTACAAACGAATGCAATGATAAAATAATGCACCATACACCATGCGATGAGTGCAATCAGTCCTCGCAGCAGCACCAACACGAACTCCGTCTGTTTTTCTAATATGTATATGCTATTCACTTAGCACATGAATACCATGTAGCGGTTCAAAAATTCCGAGCTTGTTTGTGAGAAATGCGAAGAGCTGTGGTGCACGATGAAGTGTGATATGCCTAGCAGAATTACATGATAGTTGATAAATCAGATTTACTTAACAATTGTCGGGTTGCCTAATGGGGCATATTCACTGATAGCATCATTAAGTATGATCCCAGAGCATATCATATGATTGTGGAGGCCCTTTATATTATCAATGAGCGCTTAACTTTCTCTCGTAACCAGGGTTGCACTGCTGGGATCAGCCTGCGAGTGAGCATTATGTCCATGTAATAGTTAACGTTACTTTCCACACGACAATTATAAGCTAACACTTAAACACGTTCCAGGGATTGCTGTTTTAATTTTGTGCTAAATCAGCTGCAGAAAGTGTTCCGCAACATCACATAGATTAATTGTGTTTAATCTGTAACTTTACATGCACATCCCACAAGAACGTTTTTTGCTGTTAATTTTTCAATGTAAACTTAGCTACAGGTATCATTTACAGGGGATCACATATTTCCGAATTGCATTGGACATCCCAAGTAATATATATGTATATATATATATATATATATATATATATATATATATATATATATATATATATATAGGCAAGTACCATCACCAGGTTCTTAGTTTATTCGCTGTGGCGTGCTAAACTGTTTCCAAAACTACGGTTAAGTGAATTTTTGACCAGAACGTAAAGAATTCACATTGCTTGTTTGCACCTTTTTATATTCGGCTACCAGCGCCATGCCACCATGGATGAAAGATTATTTAATCTGCTGGGGCTGAACACGACGCCCGACACGGAGCCCATCTTTGCTCTCCCAACCTGCTATTAGGATCCCGATTTACCTCGCGTGAGCTCGACAGCATCGGGTCGGATTACCGGCCATCTCACTGACGTCAATACGATCCAGCTCGGCCCGCTTCTAACAGAATCACTTATCTTCGTTAGCGTCCGAGATACTCGAGCCTAAGATATCTTCGTTATATTCATTATCTACTATATCATCTACATTTATATATGTATATATATCCTACATATAAATATATATGTATATATATATATATATATATATATATATATATACTTTGTGATCCTATCGAGATATACACTCTCAAATACACGGTAAAAATATTGATGGTTGCTCTGTATCTCTCCTCCACCCCCAGTGCCGTCTCGCTTCCATGAATGACTCGAGCATAATACTGCGCTGGCAAGCACTGGACGACACCATCCCTAAGTAAACTGAGCCGCCACTGAGCCTGTATAGTCAGTTCATGAGCGCCCCACGAAGAAAAGCCTTAACTAGGTGTCCTGTTTACTTAAAATGAAAAAAGAAGAGGACCTGGCCAATCACTTGGCCAAATGCAGGTTAAAATCAAGCCTAGATCCGAGCGGTCCGGCGTAGCACCACGCACGACCAATGCCGTTAGACTAAGAAAGGACTAGAATTGCACCAGCACAGCTGTGCACAGACGCTTCCGCCGGTGGCGTGCTCGGGCCACAAACATGGGCTCAACATTTCTTACACTTTTTAAGAGTTACATGAGACGTCGACAACGCAGGCAAGTAACGACTTGAAATCAATGGAATGCTTTATACGAATGTATTGTCCACAAATCACCTAGTGAACACAAGCCATTTGACTCAAAGGATCCAAGTGTTTGCACCCAAGTGTTTGACCATACAATGCGTAACGATGCCTTTCAATGATTTGCTCCCTAATACAACACGCTGAATGCAGTAGCTTGGAAATGTAGCACCGTGCAAGCTATAGAAACTTCCAATGCAATTCTCTCTGGCTAGTGATCAGCTCTAAAATGTTTATTTATGGAAGCATACAGCTGTTTATCATCACACGGGAAATACCCGCGGAACGTCAGTCTAGCCTACCAGACGAGTACGTTTCTAAGCCACCATCAAAATTTGCTCTTCAAAGGGATATATTCACCGGCTCCGATCGATGCCTCTGGCAAAGTATCTGATGTTGTAGGAAAGGAGCCCCGGCCGGCGGGCCACCGAACTGCTGGTGGCAAACCAGCAGTTGAACTGCAAGTCAAATATTGTTGATTCTCTTCGTACAAGCGAGTGTTGTTCTGCTGTACCTGCGAATCCTGTTGAAGGCTTTTGATAACTTTGCCATTTTATATTTGCGCTATTTTTGACTTCCAGCGTTGGTCAGGGCAAGTCGGGTCACTCTTCCGAATCGATGCACTTGTAGCATGCAAAATTGTCTTTTTACTTGTAAGGAGGTGTCATGGGTGATGTTCACTTACGAGGGCGTTGATCCGACGCCCGAGGACACTACACAAACCAAGCGGCATTTCAGTTTGAACCAAGTTCAGCAACGCTCAAGTGAGGTCAAATGTGCGAATGATTCGAACAAAATATGCAAAATTTTGACAGTAACCATGATTTAAGCAAAGTACCTTTATTGATCAAAAAGTGTCGGTGGGGGCAACAATACGCCACGTGGGGAACAGTCAGATAATTTACGCATCCCACGCCGCGCCGGTGCTTGATAAAGCCTTTGACAGATAGGGTGATCGGGCTGATCAACGCATTTTCCATTAACCGTCCGGGAGTTTGGTACGACTCGTCCGCTCAATTTGTCAGCCTCACCCACAAATTTGAAATTGGACGTGATTGCCATCCTTACTGGATGTGGGTTAGCCTAACTTGACCTTTCTTACTACAAGCCGTTTCAGGGTTAATTTCATGTGTTGGTTTTGATTTTGACAAACACACAAACAAACCGTCCTGCGATCCAGGACGGTTGAACTGGCTCACGAGGGCCACCAGGAGATTTTAAGATCCAAACAGCGAGCCAGAGAGGTCTATTGGTGGCCGGGAATGGACACCGAGGTAGAAGCTGCCGTTAGAGCTTCCGGCGTTTGCCCAACGCCACGCAAGACGGCCAGGACACGCAGCGCGCCGATGCAGCCCGTACTTTTGCCGCAAGCGGCATGGGACAAGGTCGGGGGGACCACATCGGCCCTTTAGAGGCACCCAGGAACCAACGGTTCACGATAGTTTTGGTAGACTACTACTTCAAGTGCATCGAGGTAGGGTTCTGTGCAGAACCCAGCTCAGAAACCGCTATCCAGTTCCTGGACGTGATCGCTTTGCGAGAAGGCTACCCGAAAGAGTAAGCCTCCGACAACGGGACGCACTTCACGTCCGCAGCCTTTACTGAGTACGTGCAGAGTGCAGAGACTAGTGAGATTCGCGTGAATCCGTACCACCCGGCGGAGTCGGATGCGGCGGAGCAGGCCAACCGCAAAGTGAAGTCAGCACTGCAAGCGGCAGACCAGATTGGCGAGAACCGTGTCCAGTACCTGCAGAAGTTCCTACAGCAGTACCGGAGTACGCCGCACGCCACCACCGGAGTCAGCCCATCTGTGCTGTTGCACGGCAGACGACTGATGACCAAGCTGCACGCGGCAGCCGCTGAGTCGCCTCACAGCGAGACGAAGATGCAGCAAGTAGTGCGAAGACGAGTGCGGAGCCGGCAGGAATATCAGCGAAAGTACACTGACAGCACGAGGAGCACCAAGCTACCTTTGTACGACGTCGGAGACTGGGTCAGGTACCGTCTGGTACCACGACCAAGGAATGGCCGACATCGATTCCCGAGTCATCGTGGCTTGCCGAGGGGCATCTAGTTACGAACTGGACTTCAGTACCAGGGTGCGCGCCAAGCGTCTTATTCGTTGGACGGCTGCACCTAATCATCAGCCGGCGGAGCAGGCCGCTGAACTGTGTGTGGGACAGAAGCCGGAGCACCAGCGGAGCCGAGAGAGTGAATCCTGGTCGCCTTAGCAAGTTGCACCGCGTGCATCGGCGACGGCGACGACGGCGGTAGCGTCTGGTCGCGCTGTGTCGGCGGCGGTGGTCGCGGATGACGAAGCCGTGACTGCGTTACCTGTATCGTCTGGTGGAGCTGTGCAGGTGGAACCGGGGTTTTCCCTATGTTGGGCCGGCTTCACATCATCTCTGTCAGCAGGAGACGCTGAGGAGCGGCCGGCTGCAGGAGCGACCGCGGTGACGTAGCTGGTAGTAACGGGCGGCGCTGGCGATGGCTGGATCAGGTGCGTGGCGGTTACAGTGACGTGCGTGGCGCTGCTCCCAGGCGTTCGGGACGGAGTGTGCGTGCTCCATAGCGTTACGGATTTTCGTAGGGGGAGGGGGTAGAATGTAATGTTCAGGTGTTTTTGAATTTTTTCCGTAGGTGACGTTAAATCGTAGTTGTTCTGCCTCCTAGCGAAGGTTACAAGAACCTGTGTTTGGTCATGTCACCGCTGCGGAGTCTGCGTGTGGGGCGACGGCCTTTTGTGCGAGTTGTCTGTGTGATGCGACGTGGCTGGCTGTGTGGCTGTTGTGGGTTGTGTGCGGAGCTTCTTGGGTTGTTATTATTGCAAGTAATTTGTAGATTTAAGCATAAAGTAATCAACCTGTGTGAGCGAACGGAACTTTACAGAATCAAACGGTGTCCCTGCCTTTTAATTCTAGCGTAAATGGACTATTAAAAGCCTGTTTGCACCTTTTTCGTACATCATACACCTTGGTGGGCATGTCACAAAAGTACAAAAATAGTGGTGCCCAGCAGCGCAGATTTTTGACAGCCGTCTCACTTGTCAGTGTCTTACCTCAGCCTTGGATGCATTGCATACAACTCATATTGTGTTTGTGATGCGGCCCGGAGGGCAGGTGCGTCGCGGCAGACAGGCGCCGGGCCACCCGGCTGGGCACGCTCTCCTGGTGTTTGTGGCCGGGGAGTAGCCCTCCTCGTGGCAGAGTTGGCAGCGGCCTCCGCTGGGCCTCCCGGCGGCAGCGGTGCTGACGACGGTGGACAAAACGGTGGAGGTCAATGCCCAAACCAACCGTGCAATCCAGAGGTCAGAGGTCAGCCACTATCCAGAGGTCAGGGCAGTCGATCGTCGATCGTGGTCGCGGACTCTTGGTTACGAATGTTGCTACTCTAGTGGATAGCATTAAGGTAAGGTAAGCATCACCTTACTGTGGGAGGGCGACCTTGGGGCCGCGCCGAGCAATCCCAGGTGTACTCCTGATCTGGGATTGATGGGTTAGGCTATCTCTTAACTATTTTAGAGAAAATTTTCCAGTGCTGAGAGGAAATTATTTGCGCAATATGCCTTTAGCATTATTTCCAAACATCCCGGTAACCCGTTCAACGCCACTATAGGCTCTTTAGTGCATCTGTTTAGTTGCAAAAATTCGCCTGCCGAGGATAGACCTGGTGTTTTCCCGGCCTTCTTGTACTGAACGTATATTCATATGCTATAAACAAGAAATTATCGTTTCGGTGTAACACATTTGTCTTTAGGCACAAAAATTGTTCCTTGAGGTGAGCATATACCCACATTGGCAGGTCTTGACCTGAGCCAAGGTACTAGGCTGAGAGTGTTGCATGATGGGAGTATGCCAGTTACAATTGTACTAACAGTATTAAGCTTTTAGTTTCAATTTAGACCAAGGCTAAAAAATCATAGCATTGATATGAACCTATAACATTGACAAAACAGTCCCAAAAATTAAACATATCTGTTAACTTTCGTGCTGCATGTAAATCCTAAAAAGCAATCAGAAAAATCAGTTTACCCTGAAACAATCGCAAAGAAGACTTTTGTTTCTGGTTGATCTCGCTGAGCTAACCTTACACAACGCCGGACATATATTTTGCAGGCGGTTTTCAAAACAATCAGGAAACAGACACCCTGAATTTTTAAGGGCTGCGGTGATGCAGTGCGGGCCAAGCGAATGTTAGCATCGCTGATATTAGGTGTGTGGGCATTTACAGAATGCTACCACTACGGACTGTGACAAACGCATGACCAGGATGGACACCGAATGGCTTGATGCATCAATGACATTGCCCTAACACCCTAAGCATCAAAGGGCGGTACGCTGGTCAGGGTCGCAATTATTGCGCAGATATTGCATGTACGAGGGTCGCGCGGACCAGACACGGACGCCAAAGTACGTCTTTCTGCGCGGGCCTTTAGGCGAGCGTCAAGACATTTCGGCCTGGCAGTTTTAAACGTCTGCCGCGATCGACACCAAATCTTCACCGCCTGGTGCTGCGATTCGTCGAGACGGTGGCGGCACCGGCCCCTGGCCGATCAACGCCGGCTGGTGCGCATCAGGTGGTGCGCTCCGTGCCGCGGGAGTTTGCAAAAGTGAGTGGTCGCAGGTGGAGATCCGACGGGTGGTGGTGCGGTCCGTCAACTGATCGGAACAGTAGCCAAACAGGGTCAACAGCCAAGAAGTCAAGGGCAAAATGCCAAACGTAAAAAAGCGAAGCTTCAAAAAGTCAAAGGGATAAAAGTCAAATGGCCAGCATTCAAAAGGCAATAAAAAAGGTCGACAAGTCAACCATCAAAGCTAAGAGAAATAAAAATACAATGCAGGAGTCAACAGGCAAGAAACCACAGAAATAAGTCAAGGTTAAGATACACAAAAACCCAAGGTCAAAATAAATGAAAGTAAAATGCATGAATGTAAAGAAACAAAAGTCTAAGGGATCGAATGTCAAAGGGAAAAAGTAAAATAACAGAGGTTCAATGCGACATAGGAAATCAGTAACAGGTCAAAAGGGTAATGGGCCGAAGCAGCTGAGCACGCAGGGCCGCTTCCGAACCAAATCTGGGGCACTCCGCGTCATCCACCTGACCACAAGGCCTGTTTGTCCCATCTACTTGCAGGCTGGTGCTTCGTTTACACGTCACCTTACAGTCAAGTGAAACCAAAGGGATCGCTTCGTTGCAGGAAGAGTCGGGGGCGGTGCAGCAGGAGGGAGGGGGGGGGGGGGGGGGGGAGGGTGGCAGGGGCAAGGGTAAAATAATATACGCCTGCGACCTTTATTTTCCGAGGCTTCTTTTCCCCCCAAGCTAAAGTTTTGTAGTTACGCACATGCTATCAAAATTCAGACCCGGTATGTTCCGAAGCTGAGCCAGGGAGAAGCGCAGGATTTCACTACCGGCGGCCAGATCAAAACCTTTCACTGAAAAGGTTACTGGACCGAGTTTAGCGTACCGCACACGCAAGCGCAATTTCTGGCGCGACATCGAAGAACATCGCGTGGTTTCGATATTCCTACGTTTACGAGTTCGCCTGGAATATTAAGCTGTCAAATCTAGCAGGTACACATTAATGCATGCCTTAAATTTGGTAAGGGAGTAGCTGCCCCGGGAGTGACTATGTGCCTATGCTTCTGAACTGAGTCAGGAGACCCTTTATCCTTATGAGCCCCTTTTTTGCATCAACAGGCCAATTTTCCTACTCAGGAAGCCCATTAAGCCCATCAAGAAACTATTTAGGTCCTGTTCTAGATCAGGAGACTCCGTTTTGTGTTAGGGGGCTGTTGGCTCGGTGCCCCCTCTCTCCTTATCAGTCAAAAGGCTCCCGTTCCGGATTGGGTGACACCCTCAACAAAACGTCACCGTTAAAGATCAGGAGGTCCTTTCAGCAGATTAGGAGTCGACAAATCCATGGGTTTACCCCTCTTCAAGAGACGAGCCCGGTATGAAGAAGACGGCGTAAGCATCAACGTCTCTACTTAGAAAGGGCTGTGGCCTCGAGGATGCCCAACTACAGTTGATGAAAAACCCCGCAGATGATCTTAAATCAATATTTCCCAATAGCTACGAAAAGTCTGGATGTTCAGGAACTACTGACAAACCAAATACGTCTAACAAATACTTTGATGTTCTGCCGACTCAATCTTTCGCAAGTTTTGGGCGATTAGGCGATGTCATTTGTCTGAAATTAGTCATTGTTATGCACTCCCATTGCCCCCTGTAATCACAAACATGGGGTTTCTTTGGCCTACTCAGGCCCAAAGTCCTGCTAGAAAGCTGATCTTCAGTTTCTTCAAAGCAGGGAAGCACACTAGATACAGGTTTCAGAGTACCAATGGGTTGTTGTGGGAGTCCACTCGCCCTCTTCTTGCTTAAACCAAGGGGAACCTTTTGAAAGTTATGCCTAAGAACCTCCCCTCAACCCGCGAGAGGGCCCCCATTACATTATTGTCCGTAATCCAGATCCCGCTACGATGCCCGTAAAAAGAGCATTATGATGAGCATGCTGAACTGTAGTCAAGTGGCCGAAGGCATATTTCTAAAAGGCCAGCAGATGATGAAAAATCCTCGTGTATCAAGCCATCCAACCTCGCGGGAAATGCCGATTGGATCGAAGCCCAGGGCACCTAAGCGTCATCTGCGCACTCCGCAGGCCGCTCATTGGCTGGACCCGCTTGCTAGCGCAGGAGAGGAGTTTACTCCCCAGCGTGCTAATCCCGCTCTTTTGGACGAGCAATTGAAATCAGTCCTCAGTGCTCCCGTAAGCCGCGTGAAATTTAGGGCTTCTCGCCAGGGCAGGTACGTTTTATTAATAGTTTGCCCTGATTTTTGCCATTTGACTTCTAGTCTTTTCGAATCTCAGCTTACCTGATTTTTGTCTCTGACCTTAATCTTTTTTCTTGCGGCCTTTTAAGATTTCATCCTTTGGGCGTTTGACTTTTTGACTTGAATGCATTTAACCATCACACATTTGACTTTTTGCATTAGGCTTTTATCCTTTTGACTTTTTGCCATTTGCCTTTTGTCTTTTTTCTTTTGACTTTTGACTTTTTGCAGTTAACTTTTCTCCCGTTTTATTTCTTGCCATTTGACGTTTTGTCTCTTAACTTTCCATTCTGAATCTCGCCTTTTTGTTTTTGAATCGTCCCAACGCAAACTAATGCATCCGCTGACGGGCGGGGTGGCAACACCTAGCGCTCTCGACCCCGGTGGAACGTTCCCGCTGATTCCAGGACAAAAAGTACCGGCATGCTGCACTGGGGCCGAGAGCGCCGGATGTCACCCGGCGCGCCCGTCAGTTTGAAGGCGCGTACATCAGTTTGGACTGGGACAGATCTGGGTCGACAGAGTCCCGAGCTATCAATCACTAGAATTGACAAATTGATACGCTGTCGGCGGGACGAACGGCGCCGTCAAAACAGCCAATGGCTCGGTGTGAGCATGAGGC